AAGACTGTGCCTTTGTCAAATGACACTATTTGCCGCAGAGTAGATACAATGGGAACAGACATTGTTGAGCAAGTTGTGGGAAAACTTAGCGACTCCTTTTCACTCCAGCTGGATGAATCCACAGATGTCAGTGGAAATGCACAACTTGTTGCTTTTGTGAGGTACGTTGATACTGACGACATTTATGAGCACATACTATTCTGCAAAAGTTTGAAGGGGAAAACAACAGGAGAGGACATATTTAATGTTGTCAATGCCGCTTTCTGTGAAAACGGTTTGAGCTGGAAATCCTGCAGCAGCGTCTGTACAGACGCAGCAGCGTCAATGACGGGGAGGAGAAATCCGCACAGCTGGATTGGGTGAGAAACCCATTACTCTTGTCCGAAGCAAACCGAAGCAAGCTCCCTGTCACCTATCTGGAAAAACTCTTGGAAGTGTCATCTGATCGTGGCTTCCAGATGAAGTTTGCCATGTTCACACTTAAACAGTTTTGGGTGTGTGTGAAGCAGAAGCACCCTGACTTGGGACAGAAAGCTTTGAAGCAGCTACTACCCTTTGCCTCCACATATTTATGTGAGGCCTCCTTCTCTGCAATGACTGTGATCAAAACAAAGCAGAGAAACAGACTGTGCCTGGCACAAGCCCAAGTGTCTAACTAAAATGTCTCACTAAGTGTAAAAACACAGTGCAACCATGCAATATTCAGTGTTGATAGTTTGTAATGTTAAGATGTCAGTCTTCTTTTTGATTCTTAAAAAGATATTTTAAGATTTATTTTATTTATTTTTAGCAATTTCTTTTTGAGAACAAATCTTTACTATGATCCCAAAAGAGGACACTTTATGTTGATAATTATTTTTATGTGCACAAATCTTTAACTTTATTTATAATTAAGTTAATTATTTATTTCTATTTTTAATTATCTTTTTATTTCCAAATAGTTCAAGAGAGACCACTACAAATGAGCAGTGTTTTGCACATTTATGGAGTTTTAAATGGTTCATTTTATAGTTTTAAATTGTTATATGGTCACTGTTTTTTGGTCGTAGGCTTCCTCTTAACCAGAGGCACATAGCAGGGTTTGAGGTGAACCAGGTTGTGATCTGACCTGCCCAGAGGGGGGAGAGAAGAGGAGATGTATACATCCTTAATGTTAGCATACATCAGGTCCAGGGTCCTCTCCTCTCTGGTAGGACAGCTCACGTATTGTTTGAAAGCCGGCAGAACTCTGTCCATGGTGACGTGGTTAAAGTCTCCCGACATGATGATGAGGGCACTGGGGTGTTGAGTTTGTAGTTTGAAGATGGTGGTGTGTATGGTGCTGCAGGCAGATGTTGGGTTTGCAGAGGGAGGGATGTACAGGACAACGATGATGACATGCGGGATCTCTCTAGGCAGATGGTATGGACGGAGTCCAACGGCCAGCAGTTCAGCATCCGGGCTACAGAGCTGTTCATGTTGTACATTATTATTTGAAATGTCATCATTAAACATCCAGTTTGGGGAAACTCAGTTTCCAGTTGCAGTAGAAGTGCATCGTATATCACTGATATTAGTGTTATTATTATTATTATTATTATTATTATTATTATTATAAAGTATTATTATAGCTACGGTTACTGTTGTTGCTGTTGTCACTGCTCATTGTCCCCCAGCGTTGCTGTTGTCATGTTCATCATCATCAGTCACTACTATTAGTGTAGTTGTTGCTACTGTTTTTGCTGTATGTCTGTCTGTCTGTCTGTCTATCTGTCTCTCTCTCTCTCTCTGTCTCTCTCTCTCTCTCTCTCTCTGTTTTTCTGATAAAACATCAAATAAAAGCTTTGGGTAGATAGCAGTGCTGAAAAGAAGGGAGTTGATTAATAAAGCTGCAATAAAAATGTACATAGGCTCACAGAGGTTTTGGTTAATCCAGATCAGACACACAATAGTAGAATTACTGCAGATTATTAGAATATATGCTGTGAACATGATCACAAAATAAAGATATCTGTGTTTCTCTACATCTACATACCCATCAAGAGTTATATATGTTGTATTTACTTGATCATCCATGAAGGTTAAACATTCAGAGTAAAGTCTCACAAATCTCAAAGATACACTAAAATGCTATGTAGTATCTATCTTTTAGTATCTTGGTGGATGAAGCTTTTAGTGAGTCTGAAGGTATAGCCTTGCTAGGTTGGCTAACGCTACTGGAAAATGCGACAACACCCCGGTCCACTTCGGTCTATTAAATCTGTCAACCTCGAGGCTCCGGGTGTGGTGGAGGTCTCGCGATAATTCACCGCGAGAAGTGGAAAGTCCTACCGGTATCTGCTCCTACCATCAACTCTTTGGAATCAACTGTGTGTCAACTTTCTGGTCCAGTTCCCACCATCATTGCAACTGTTTACCGCCCGCCTAAAGCAAACAATAACTTCATTAATGATGCTCTACTTACCCACCTAGCCACACTTTCCCCAAATGTAATACTGCTGGGGGACTTCAACATACATATGGACAATATCAATCTCCCTCTTACCCGTGACTTTGCATCCTGTCTTGACAGCTTTGGCTTCCAGCAGCATATTGACTTTCCCACTCATTCAAAGGGTCACATTCTGGATTTAGTCTGTTGTTCTGGTCTCATTCCCTCCAACTGTACTGCTGATGAACTTCCTATAACTGATCATTTGCTTCTGTCGTTCAACGTCAAACACACTCTGTCCTCAACAAAGCCCCCACGTGTTATCTCATTCCGTAACATTAAGAAAATGAATCCTGATGCACTTTCCTCTGGTATCAGCTGTCTCCTGAACACTCACATCCACCCCCGACGACTTGGCTTCCCACTACAACAATGGCCTCAACACCATTCTTAATTCTCTCGCTCCTATGAAAACCAGGGCTGTCTCCTCCTCCACCTCTGCCCCTTGGTTCACTTCCGAACTACGGCAGATGAAAGCCAAAGGTCGACAGCTTGAGCGACTAAACAAGAAAACTGGTCTTGTTGTTCACAAAGACATGCACAAAAATCTCATTTTACAATATAAGGACTGCATTTCTCAAACCAAACTTAATTACTACTCTGGCATAATCTGTTCAAATGAAGGTAATTCCAAGTCACTGTTTTCTCTTCTCAACAATATTCTCAGGCCCCCGGCCTCTCTCCCACCCCACCTGTACTCAACTGCTTTCTGTAACTCCCTGATGTCCTTTTCAATCAGAAAATTCATCAGATCCACCTGCACCTAGGCCCAAGCTCCTCCCTCAGCACCTCCCCTGAACCCTGTCTGACGTCTCACTCATTCTCCTTCTTTCAGCTCCCCTCTGACTCAGATATCTCAGACCTCATCCTAAAATCCAAGCCCTCCACCTGTCAGTTAGATCCCCTCCCCAGAGTTCTGGTGAAAGCCTGCCTCCCCTCTCTCCTCCCCCTCATCTCTGCCATCATCCATTCCTCACTCTCTACTGGAATTGTTCCTACACTCTTCAAAACTGCTGCCATCACTCCAATATTGAAAAAACCTGGTGCTGACCCTAATAATTATAATAATCTTCGTCCCATCTCCAACCTACCTTTCCTCTCCAAAACCCTTGAAAAAACTGTTGCTTCCCAAATTCATTCTCATTTAACCTTTAACAACTTGTATGCACAATTCTAGGCCCCTTCTCTTCATCATCTACCTCTTTCCCATTGGCAATATCTTCCGCAAATACAACATCCACTTTCATTGTGACACCCAGCTCTACCTCTCCAGCAAACCCAATTCCACTCTCCCACCTTCCTCCCTCACTGACTGCTTCACTGAGCTCAAATCCTGGTTCTCCTCCAACTTCCTCAAACTTAACAGTGATAAAACAGAATTTCTTTTTATTGGCACTAAATCAGCCCTCTCAAAAGCTGACAGTTTTTCTCTCACCATCGACCACTCCTCTGTCTCCCCCTCCCCCCAGGTTAAGAGTCTGGGTGTCATCCTTCACAGCACATTATCTTTCCAATCCCATATCAATATCATCACCCAGTCTGCATATTTCCATCTACATAATATTAATCGACTCCGCCCCTCCCTTTCTCCCCACTCCACTGCCATTCTTGTACACAGCCTTGTCACCTCCCGCTTCGACTACTGCAACTCCCTTCTCTTCGGTCTACCTCACAAATACCTCCATAAACTTCAACTGGTTCAGAACTCTGCAGCACGGATCATCACCAGAACCCCCTCCATCCACCACATCACCCCTGTTTTACAGCAACTCCACTGGCTCCCGGTAAAACTCCGCATAAACTTCAAAATCCTCCTGTTTACGTTCAAGGCCATCCACAACATTTCCCCTCCTTATCTGTCTGAACTCCTCCACATTGCCATCCCTTCACCTTCCCTCAGATCTGCCTCCTCTGTCCACCTCTCTGTCCCTCCCACCCGCCTCGTCACCATGGGGAGCAGGGCTTTCAGCCGCTCTGCCCCCCAACTCTGGAACTCACTCCCACCGGACCTCAGGAACCTGGACTCTCTCACACTCTTCAAATCAAGACTAAAAACTCACCTATTCAGAACTGCATACCCCACTTAACTCTCTACATTGTCTTTTTTATGTTTCTTATTTCTTACTGTTTTTACTTTTTATGTGTTGTACAGTGGCCTTTAAATAAAATGTATTATTATTATTATTATTTCTTCAGATAATTAGTAACTGTATTGGATTACATTTTAAAAGCAACCCTCCCAACCTTGGTCATAGGTGAGCTCTGTCTCCAACATGTCCAGTAGAGAAGGTGTACTGATGTGATCACAAGCAGACAGAAAGAGGAGGAAGGGCCAGAGTCACAGGGCGTATCACTTATTCAGCTTCTTGTAATCCTTTTTTGCTTTATTTTATGCTTTCTGTGTTCTTGTTCAATTTAGTAACTTTGTGGCTTCAAAGTGCTCCTCCGCTAGCTTGGTTAGTTTTTCCATAAAAATATTCAGAGTAGTTTATGGTTCCTTGTCCATTCACACATCTGACCACGGCTCATCTTTAACCTCCATCATAAACAAGTATTTATTAAATCTTCTAAATGATCACTGCATCATATGGCTAAAGATACAGCATTGGTGCAGCCCTCAGTAACGTTGGGAAAAATGTGACCTATGCAGGTAGAAGTCTTCCTACAAGCTTTATTGGTCTGATAGTACAGTAATAATTAATAAACACAGAAGAAAATGATTTTCAATTAAAAAGATATCATTGGTAAGAGGGTTCTGTTTTTATGCACTTAATGAAAAAGCAAGTGGATAATAGAGTAGGAAAAGGATGTGATGTTGGCAAAGTCACACTGATGAAGGCCACAAACAGAAAAGTGTTGGTCTCACAATGAATTTCTTCATTTTGTGATGCCGGAGTCTCGACAGCTTCAGGCTTTTTTAAAAACTGAAGCCAATTGCTTAGACATGGCTGATGCCCTTTACTGTGCACTACTGTTATACAAACCAGTCCTCACAATACAAACCTTCAAAGGGTCACAGAAAGCACATCTCTTAATGATTGGGACAGTTATTACAGTACAGTTATTATTGTTACTACATTAGACTATTTCGCAGAACAACCTCTTGAGGTGTTTATAGATTTCTTTCATTTTCAGTCCATATATTATCGGATTGAAGAGAGGATGATACATTATTATTTGTAATGTCATTATTAAATGCACAGTTTGGGGGAACTCAACTTCTAGTCGTAGTAGAAGTATATCATATGCTGCCAAACAGGAAAAATTGATTAGAACTATCAAGTGTGGTAAACAGGTCTGTGCAGCTTTTCTCCTGACTTCCCTAGAGCTTCCATGGGATATTAAAAGTATTCTGGTGTATGTAAAAAGTATGAAGAGTACAGGGAGAACAATAAGATTTACAAAAAGAACCAAGCCATATATATTCAGCACTCTTGAACTCACACAGTGAAGTTTGTAAACCGTGCTGTTACAAATTATTCCTTTGAAATTAAAGTTACAGAGTTTTTTATTAGCATTCAGTACAGCTGGCACTGCAAGCTGACAAACAGGCACAAACCAGGCTAAAACCAAGAAAGTATTGACCGTTGTTTTTGTCATGATAGTTGGATATTGCAGAGGTTTACATATAGACACATACCTGTCATAGGACATTGCTGACAACAGTAAGAACTCTGAACCGCCTAAAGAATAAAATATAAACCACTGAAAGAGACAGGCTGAATATGATATGATCTGTTTTTCTGATAAAACATCAAATAAAAGCTTTGGGTAGATAGCAGTGCTGAAAAGAAGAGAGTTGATTAATAAAGCTGCAATAAAAATGTACATAGGCTCATGGAGGTTTTGGTTAATCCAGATCAGACACACAATAGTAGAATTACTGCAGATTATCAGAATATATGTTGTGAACATAATCACAAAATAAAGATATCTGTATTTGTCTACATCGACATACCCATCAAGAGTTATATATGTTGTATTTACTTGATCATCCATGAAGATTATCTAAAGACAACATTCAGAGTAAAGTCTCACAAATCTCAAAGATACATTAAAATGCTATGTCTGTATATATCTTCAATCAGATTTTCTTTAATTCACAAGTACCTAACCTTAACACGCATCTGTATGAAATATTCCAGTAATCATTCAGAAAAGTGAACTGTTTAAGGATTGTTTTTATCAACCTGCCTCATTCTCCAAGGATCTCATTAAAATCTCCACCAAGTGCTACTATTATCTGAACAACTTCATCAAACTCTGGAGGCCTGCACCCATAGGTTGGCAATTTGTCATATTTTTTTAATCATCATTGCTATAACTTTAACTTCTGGCTCTGTCCCAGGCAACTTCAAGAGCAGCCCTCAATCTTCTTTTATTATTGTAATTTATTTTGCCAAGTTCACACTATATGATTTAACTCTGATTTTCAACTCGCCAACAGTTTTTGGAGATTTCCAACAAATGCCCACAGATCAGAGGCAAATCAGAGGTTGCTCCCATGAGGACCATCGGTATGTGTGAACTGTTGAAAGACGTGACTGAGAGCTTGTAGATGCCTTGCAGATGCACAAAAAGTAGCTAGAAGGCTATTATGTGTTCATGTCAGGATGTTGGTACTTTGGTTTTTGTTTGGCCCCAAAGGGTGTCAGTGCCATCAATTAAGGGACCACTCTGTAGGATTGAGTGTCATCTATTGGTGAAGTTGAAACTATGATGGCCCCAATACTTACAAAAAACTTGATAGGCTCTATCTACAACCATTGGAGAAGTGTTGGCTGTGGCTAAAGAGAGGACAGCCATGGGGGCAGAGTAGTTAATTTGCCATTCGGACACAAGCTCGGCCTAAGATCAGCCTAAGATGGGTCAGCTGGAGGAGGGTGTATGATTTTGGAAAGACCCAAAACACCCAGGAACATCACTGAAAATGTGTCCAGACACATCAGTAGATATATACTTGCACAATGCTGCACTAAATCATGGTCAGGCGTATTTTTCTCAAGATTGTGTCCTTGTCTAAACAAAACACAAATCAGATATTTTTAATTGTAATTTTATTTCCCCTGGTTGAGAATTCAGCTCCATCTACTATCGCCTCAGTTGCAGTAATAGTACCTTTTCTGTGGACCTGCACCTATGATAGATAATCCATATTTTCCATTAAACTCTTGTATCTAGAAATATTCATAATGTCTGGACAGCAAAACATGTACTGCTTTTGGATAAAGTCGATCCAAATTTTAGAAAAGCTCATAAATATTCAAATTCATCACTTTCTGTCTGAGAATTGTATCTTAAACCCCCATCTGGGCACAGCACTTTGACTGCAGCATGTAAGGTTGTAAATATAATTTAATTCATTGACTTGTCTAAAGCATTTGACTCAGTGGATCATACTCTTCTTTTGGATACACTTAGATCAATTGGTTTTGACACAAATGCATGTAACCTGTTTCACGGTTATCTTACTGGTTGAACTCAAGCAATAGTTGTGGAAGGTCATCAGTGTGGTTTCAGTGGTGCCACAGGGCTCAAGATTAGGTCATATCCTGTACATAAATGATCTAGGGTTATCAATTAGTAACAGCTCTATTCATTATTATGCTGACAACACAGTCATTTACCCATCAATACCCTGTATTCATCTAATTACATGTTCTTCACCAGATGCCAAATGAAGGATTTTCTGTGTCCCGTACATCAGACTTTTAGCGTAATGTTGGCGGGAACATTCCCAGTACAGCAAGGTTCCAGAAAAAAAAGGGAAGACAAACTAGTAACAAAGTGAGTTTTGGTGAGAAACACTGAATGTAACAGAACTTTTGTCTGTTTAGAGGGAGACCCCACAGTGCACAGAGCAGCTTTAACTATTTATTGGCAAACAACAGCCAGGCACAATGTGCAGAAAATAATGTACATTTTTAGAATTAAAATTAAAATAATTCAAATTTGCTGTAGCAATAGGGATTGCAATACAGTGGCAATTCTGATTAAAGGGGGGGCAGGAAAATATAACAGATGCAAACATCCCAGTAAACAGCACCTATGGGTGCAGGCCTCTAGAGTTTGATGAAGTTGTTCAGATGATAGTAGCACTTGGAGATTTTAATGAGATCCATGGAGGGTGCTGCAGGCTGATAAAAACAATCCTCAAACAGTTCACTTTCTAAATGTTTACTGGAATAGTTCAACAATCACACAGGTACAGGTCAGGGTCAGATACCAGTGAATAAAAGACAATCTAATCCAGGTTTCTCTATGTCGATGTGATCTTTAAAGCAAGACTTTACTCTGAATGTTTCTTTAGACCTTAATGGATGATCAAGTAAAAACAACATATATAACTATTGATGGGTATGTGGAAGTTCACAAATACAGATATCTTTATTTTGTGATCAGTGCAGTAATTCTACTATTGTGTGTCTGATCTGATCTAACTAAAACCTCCATGAGCCTATGTACATTTTCATTGCAGCTCTGTTAGTCAACTCTATTCTTTTGAGCACTTCTATCTACCCAAAGCTTCTGATTGACTTTTTATCTGAACATCAGATAATATCTTATTCAGCCTGTCTCTTTCAGTGTTTTCTATATTATTCTTTAAATAGTTCAGAGTTCTTACTGTTGGCAGCCATGGCCTACGACAGGTATGTGTCTATATGTAAACCTCTGCAATATGCCACTATCATGAGAAAAACAACTGTCAGTATTTTCTTGGTCTTAGCCTGGATTCTGCCTGCCTCTCAGGTCGCCGTTCCAGCTGGATCGAGTGCTAATTTTAATTGCAGCTCTGTTAATCAACTCTCTTTTTTTCAGCACTGCTTTCTACCCAAAGCTTTTATTTGATGTTTTATCAGAAAAACAGATCATATCATATTCAGCCTGTGTCTTTCAGTGGCTATTGTCAATAAATTGTTGAGAGTGCCCTTTGTAGTTTTGAGATAAAAGAATCAGCTCATAATAAACACATTACAAAGCCAGGAAAGGCGAATGGACATGGGTTTTGCAATTTATGTATTTTTAAAAGAAGTAACATGCACTGGTGCAGACGCTGAGCCTGACTTATGGCCAGCTACACTGAAGGCATATCAGAATCAGAATTACTTTAATAATCCCAGGGGGAAATTATTTTCGTTACAACACGCCAGATATACAAAGATAATTTCCATATAATAGGGAGGTACCAAGCCAGAATTGTGGTATTTAACCTCCACCTTAGCAACAGAGGATTTAATAAAATCAAGGATGGACAGATTAAGATGAGATACTTTGGGAGATGCGGCTGGGGAACACATGAAAGTAGTCTGACTACGCTTCAGTTAGTTTTAGGTCATCCAAGCATTACTATAATTTCAGGTTGGATGGAGTCTGAAGGCTTGAGTTGCGTGTCGTCACCATAGGAATGAAAATTGAGGTCATGTTGACGGATTATATATCCAAGAGTAAGAATGTGAAAGATTAACAGGAAGGGTCCTAGGGGACAGGGGGGAACCTAAAGCTACCAATAGAAACCAACTGTTGTCTAGCTGTGAGGTAGGACTTGATAATGGAGTGCCAGTGACACCAAGTAGTGTTTCTGGTTCAGGATACAAATGTTTAGGTATCCAGAAAAAGCAGCTATGAGCAGGTCATTGTTAGCGATGGTAAGCGCAGGTCATTGTAAGCGATGGCATTTTGGTACTGCGATGGGCTTTGCCATCACTGTGTGAATAGGTTAATGTACCATGTAGTGTAAAAGCGCTTTGAGTGGTTGGAAGACTAGAAAGGCGCTATACAAATACAGGTCCATTTACCATTTACCATAATTTATGTTAGCATATCACAGACAGACATGATTTAACCCCACGCCCATTCTGCATGGGGTCAAGAAGTCCTGGGAGTCCTAAGTCCTAGAGTTTGCGACACGTTCAGACACATACTGCTCATCAACAGGGGAGTAAGCTGAAAAACAGCTAAGAGGGACAGAAGGGGGAGAGGTAACATGTCGTTGAGTAGATGTATCTTGTAGCTTCTGGTAGACTGAAGTAGTTTCATTCTTGAAAAAAATCCATAAAATCACAGCACAGTTTAGGAGAGGCAGCCAGAAGGGGCTTGTTTGGCTGGCTAGAGTACAGTAGTTTATTTGATGGTGAGAAAAAGGGCTCTAGGTAAGCTTTCTTATAGGTTCTAACGTAATATTTTTTAGGCTAATAAAAGAACAGTAAAGACCAGCAGCCTTAATTTTGTCCAGCTCCAGTGTGAATGAAGGAGTGTGATAGCAATTCAATTAAATTTTCATTTCAATTTTATTTGTATAGCGCCAACTCATAACAGAAGTTATCTCAGGACACTTTTCAGGTCTAGAACGTCTGCCTCGACCAGTTGGGGTGAGAGAGAGAGAGAGAGAGAGAGAGAGAGAGAGAGAGAGAGAGAGAGAGAGAGAGAGAGAGAGAGAGAGAGAGAGAGAGAGAGAGAGAGAGAGACAGACAGACGTGCACAGCAACAACAGTAGCAACAACTACACTAATAGTAGTGACTGATGATGATGAACATGAAGATGATGACGACAACAACAATGATGGGGGACAATGAGCAGCAACCGTAGCAACAAAAATAACAACAACAATAATAATAATAATAATAATAATAATAATAATATGTTGGGATCCAAGGATACCTTTAAACACAAACTTGTTCATTTGAAGTGTTTAACTGGACCAAAAGGGATGTTGGGACAGACCCCTCTGCGGGGGGGTCAAGAATGCGACCATGGTGTGGCTTAAAGGCCATAAACGCCCAAACATCGGCTCATCATAGGTCAGAGATCTTTGGACCCCAGACCCGTCATCCCAGCTATTTTAACCATAGAGACGCTCTTCTCTCTCTCTTCTTCTTTTCTCTCTTCACCTTGCTCACCTTGCTCGCCCACACCGATTGATAAGTTACCAACGACACACGACAAAGGATTACAGCACGGCACAAGAGCCTGCTTCTTCCTGCGATCCCTGGCCAGCGCACCGCTAATGGAAGTCAACATCGGCAGCTTAAACAGAAAGTCTGTCAGCTGACTTTACTGGAGCAATGCGACGTCAACACCAAGTCGTTAACTCTGCAGAGCAACGAGCGAAACGCCTTTCCTCTTGCTACCTGCACCAGC